GACCTGCTGGGACAGCTCATCCGCGACCTGGTAGGAGCCCGCGGGGAGCCCCCGAGAGCGGCCGGTGCTCCCGTCCGTTACCTCGATCCCAAATACACCCCCTGGTTCAGGGTTGTAACCCCCGAAACCTCCCCGCCTCGCTGCAGGACGCGGGTCTAGCATTTTTCTGTTAAAAACCCACTTTTCTTTTTGGCTGCTTCAGGCTGCTCGGGACGGGAGGATGTTCAGGATGTTGCGACTTGCYGCACCGCAGGAGTGAACAATACCAAAGCCCGAACGTTAGCTCGACACACGAGTTAATTTGGCAGTGGTGTTAAATACGGTTCTGAACGAGCGGAGATGTGTTTTGGCAGCTCCTCCAAATGCAGCAGAGGTTTTATTTACAGCATAGAGAAACCAGGGGGTGGGGACACCCACTCAGCTGCTTTTTGGGTGCTGGGGCCTAATTACTCTGTGCTTAAAAAAAAAAAAAAATTAAAAGGAGCAGATTAAATTTCTGTCTGCGAGGCACAAATTAATCCATTTACGGAATTAGTGCTCCATTAGCGCCCAGGAGCCCACGTCTGTCTCGGAGGRGCGGCTCGTGCTGCAGCTCTGGATCCCGTCCAGCCGGGGTTCGCCCGCTGCTCCCGCTGCGTGTGTGGCCGAGCAGCTCTAGCCGGCTGTGTGCAGGAGCAGGGTTAGTGTGAGCTGCTGCTCCTGCTGTCCCGCAACTTTGTGTCCCATGGCCTTGGAGCGTAGGCAGCTCTCCTCCCTAACYGGGGGGTTGGAACCTCACTTTAAGTACCCTTACAGCTTAAAGAGATGAACTTATGCAGTTATTTTTTATTCTTCATGGAAGAAATGTCCCTTTGGACCRTTCCACGTGTAGGCAGCCCGTCTTTCTGAGGGCGTCTGCGGGTATGTGCAGCCCAAGCAGCTTGTGAGCCAGTTGGACGTGCGTCAGGTCCACTTTGTTAGCGATACCTGCGTGGTGCTGAGGGCCAGGTCCGGGTTTGTGTGAGCGGGTGGCAAGGAGCAGCTGCAGAAAAGGCAAAGGCAGGTGGGCTGGGAAGCGCTGAGAGGCCCAAGGTGGTGGTGATTTGGCTGGAGTCTCCCTGACTTTCTGATAGCAAACTGTGGAGACAGGGGACTGCACGTGGGTTTTGTGCATGAGGATTGATGGAGGAGGATCAGGCAGCCTGAAACACCTGCGGCGAGGATGCAGAAACCTGGAAAAAACACTACAGAGCAGAATTTCAAAATGAGGGCTTATAAAAGTGCTCAGAACAGACTGATTACATCTCTGGAATGTGCTGTGAAAGACTTGGAAACTCCAGAGAGAAATGGAGAGGAGGGCAATCTCTATACAGCCATTGCAGGAATAGGACTGTTGGTCCTACTCCAGTTGCCTCTTTCCTGGGAGGCTTTATTTTTGTATGTACTGCACGTGTCTGCTAAATGCAAGAGATGGATCCTTTGGTGTGAGGTTTTTTTTTGGGCTACTTAATCATTTGAAGCAGCAACTCTTTCAACACACTTCCTGTGGAAATAAGCTGCTRTGTTGTGGATGAAATAAATATAAAACAAACTGTAATCTCATCTCCATTCAAAACATCAGTACATTTTCCATCATCCTTGTTTTAAACCTCATGAGTTAAGTTTATAATGATTGTATGCCTGTAAAGTGCTCCCTTGCTTAGTGTTTTTGACACTAAAACCTTAGGAAATTATTTTATTAGACCTTGTCTTTCTGGGCCCAAAACCTGTGGGAACCGTAAGGGCATTAAAGGATAAAAGGGGTCTCCTGCTTGGGAAAGAAGGAATAAGCCRCAGTGAAAATGTTTGTGCGTGTTGGCTGTGTTCCCACAGGTAGTTATTTAATTTGGACTTTTGTGCCTGCTATTAGGAATGAAATCCCTGCACCTGAAGTGCGGCCAAGCTCTGGCCACCAGCCGCAGGTGGCTGGTGTGGCTGAACACATTGGAAGTGTTGCTCGAGTGGATCAAGACTTTCATGCTTGCAGGCCTTCTGTCCCCGCACGCAGGAGCTSGGGCACCTTCCTGCCACGGGATTTAGCTGCCGTCCTGCTGCAGGAGGGTGGTGTGACGGAGGAGAGCTGCCTCTGCCTTCCCTTGGGGCAGTATGATGGCACTGAGGAGACAGTGTCTTCTCTTAACACCATTGTAACTTGTTTTCTATCTTGTTGTGTATAAGGGAAGTCTAATAACCTCTTATTTTTTCTTTATTTTTCCAGAATGAAATAAATGAAGTTCCATTTTTTGATATCCAGCTGCCCTATGAACTGGCTTTGAAGATATTTCAGTACCTGGGCAAGACTGAGCTCGGAAGATGTGCTCAGGTAGGCACTGAGTTTGCTTCTCTTTTCCTACATAGAATTAGAAGAAATACTTCCAAAGCTGAATGGAAAATGACGGTAAATAAGCTGGATTTGTAGCTTGCAGTTGAATACAGATAATCCAAAGTTTTGTTGCTTGGACGTAACTGAAACTTAAAAATAAATTCTTGCACATATTATTTGATTTGAGAGTGAGCATATTCAGAAGGAAGTGAGAGCCTGGCTATAGTGTTCAGAATTTCACAGTACTAAGCTGATGGTGAATTTTTTTTTTCTTTCTTTTTCAGTATGTGACTCAAACAGTAGAGAGTTGACAGCTGATACAGAGCAGAATACTAACATTTTCATCCTTAACGGCTTCAAGTAGGGCTAGATTACTAATGACTAATGTAAGATCTCTTTTCCCCTCCTTGTTTCTATTTCCGTGGTGATAAAGTCACACTTTCACTGACCCMTTCTCGGATGTGATCTTGTCATTTATGAGTATTTTTGAAGTGCCTCCTCAAGTACCTGACTTCAGCCTGCASTGCTGAGCCTCTCATCTCCCTTTCTCGCGCGCTGAATGAGGAACCGCCTCTCTTAGCAAGTCTCCAGAGCAAACTTGACTGGCGAGTGCCGGTTCTGTGACATAGGGGAGGATATTGTGGATATTCATTACCRGCTTCTTTCATGGCCACAGTTTAATGTTTCGGGCCTAGTCATTTAGTTTTCATGTGCTAAACACTCCTTGCAGCTTTGCAAAAAAAATCTACCCAAAACCTTGCATTGCATCAAAARTCCTTATTACCCTTGCTTGTAAAATAAAAATGATGTTAATGTGCTAAAGTGGAAAAATGATAGGGTGGAGCTTTGCTGTGGATGGTAAACTGGATATGAGTTATAACATGTGGCATGCATAATGATATTAAACTGGGTTTGGGGCATTCAGTTTACATAGGTCGTGGTGTTGAATAAGCTAATGATTTTAGGAATAAGAACATTAGAAAAATACTTCTTGCATGATTTCTGTTGCAGAGGGAGAAAAACTGCAAAGATATTTTTTTCATGAGTTGCCTAGAGGACTGTCAAACTTTGGAATCTGATGGAGTTTCTGTCATTTGCTGATACACAGATGCGTTCAGGAATGGCTGTATCCCTTGAAGTGCAACAGTGTTGAGGTTTTGGAGTAGACAATTTTAATAACTATCAGACATGATCAATTTACCTCATGACACAGAAAAAAGAGTACTGAAAGGCTACTCCTTTTCACTGTACTCGAGCTACACTTGATTTCTCCTTCTCACTCTTCGTTTTTAACTTGAACYAGTTCTCATAGGATCTTTTCAATACTTAAAACATTTTCCACAGTTCTCGTTTGCCCTCTAGGACTGAATCGGTTGGTCCTATGTGGCAGCTGGCAGGTAGCTGTGCAAATGCCCAGTGTTTTACAAGGCTCCCCGAATGAGATGACTATCCAAAGCTTTTCGTGCAGAGCTGGCTTCTCTTTAAGTGTTCGAATAAAAAGCAACGCAATAAAAATAAATACCATTTTCATTTCTCTCGTGGTGATTTTGTTTTTGAAGGGAGGGGAAGCCCTCTTCTGTTAAATGGAAAGCCCTGCTGCTTTACAGCATTATTGCAGAAAGGTTTTTTTATTAAGGCGCCTAGGGATTTTAGTGGAATTGGGCTAGTTAGTGGAATTGGCATCACGAACTACGCGAGTGCCTTTGGAGAAAACCTGTTTGCTTAGTTCTTCATGCCAAAATGGTAAGTGACTAACAGTAAAGTAGCCCGACTGCCGAGTCTCTTTGAGATTTAATCACACCACAGCCTGCCCTGGAGAACTTTAATTTCACCCTGATATTTTCCCCCTCCCTCTCTTTCCTGCTGCTTTTTTTTTTTTTTTTTTTTTTTTTAGAGGTGTACAAAATGCGAACAATCCATATATCCATATATCCATGACAGTTGCATGGTATTTAGCAGTATCTCCCAGACCGGCCTCAGGCTGCTGCTACCCCGTGTTGGTAACTGGAGGGGAAAAAGGTGTCTGGGAGTTGATGTGTGAGCAGAACGGTGCAGAGGAAGGGCAAACGTGGCCATTTTCCATGCGGGTCCCTATGGATGGCTGGGAGCGCTGGTCACTGGAAGAAGGATCTGGGATGTGGGCTGCTCCTCTGTCCCTTCGGCAGTGTTTGAGAGAGGGCTCTCCCTCCTCACAGTCACAGGCAAAGGAGAAACGATCCCTTGGGAAGCTGTGAGCATGGCGCATTGAAGCAAGCGGGAATTCCTGTGGTGTTTGCACTGGTGCTGCACACTTCTGCACTGAACTTTGCTGCCCCTCTTTGGATGCGGCCTTGACGCTGCCAGCGTTGTGGCGAGGTGCTGTGCGGCTGCTCTGTGAGGGTCTGCACATACTCAGGGCTGTGTTACTGCCTTCTGGTGATGACTGAAGAGTGCATTAATCACGTTACGTGATGAGAGGTACCTCTGGGCCGTAGGTGTGGAAATTGTAGCTATTTCTGAATAGATCTGCAGGAAATTGTCTTTGAAGTGTTAGCATTTTCTGTTAGCATTTTTGTTAGTATTTCTGAGATGGATTAGAAACAGTAACCAACACAGAAGTTGCAATTTTGTCTAAGACCACGGAGTATTTCTAGGAATTTAGGAAGGAAATGCCTTGCATAGCTCAGGAATCTCAGACGTTTCGCTTTTGGAATTGTCCAAGCTGTTAGATTTTTGGTGTTCAGAAACCAGAAAAAAAAATCTCATGAATTTTTGAACATACTGTTGCATTGTGTACTGGTAAAAATAGTCATCCATGCTGCTCACAAGTTGCAGCGAAAGTTGGGCAGTGGGTGGATAGGGCTTTCCTGAGCTCAGAACGAGACTTAAAGTAACATTAAGGCTGTGAATGGCAAAAATGACTGGCTTCCCCCTGGTAAATGCACATCTGAATGACTTTGGATTATGTGGTATTTGGATCTAAATATTTCTCTGAATTGAAAGTCCAGATATTTTAAATTAAGGATTTTGGTTCCAGAGACTGAACCTGGATAATATCTTTGTGTGATAGGGAAGAAAGGAAACCTGAAGGAAGTTATCAGATGGGGAGGTCATTAAGATTTGGACCAGTTGATTAAGATAAGATTAGAAAAATTGGGGATTTGATGGAAGAGATGAGCTTTTTAGATTCTTTTACTTTTTTTTTTTTAAATTAATTAAAATTAAATTAAAAAATAATCCTGAATGCAAAACCAAATAGCAAAACCTAGGTCAGCAAGGGCCTTTGAAGAGTTTCAGAGGGTTATTGCGTGCTGACCCACAGGTAGGGAATAAGGCTGTGGAATAATGTGGAGCTCAGAGGGAACTGGGGTTTCCTTGCTGACAACAGTGAGAAACATAGTAAAAATATAATAGGAGCACTTAAATCAAAATGGAAATGGTGCCTCTGTGGCTATAAACAACTTTGTAAGGTATTGGCATCGATTGCCGCTGGAGACTGGGCGCAGTGGAGTTGTGGAAATAATTATGTTCACAATTGGAGCTTTGCGTGTTTGGGCTACTCCTCAACAAGCTGAATGTATGGATGCCTATAAATATAGCCATAATACCCGTCTTCCGGGACCTCACCTGGAACTCCAGCTCAAGCAGATCTAATAAAACTGACTTTGAGCCAATGGCCGCTTTAATGCGGCGGCTCACAGTGGTGCTGTAAAGTGCAATGCTTGAGATGCGTTTATTAGAGGTTTCTTGCAGCTGAGGCTCGCTCAGTGGGGCTTTCATTGGGGCTTGTCATGCCAGTTTTGGTGCATTAAGGACAGACTCTGCTAGGGAGCCTTTGGAAATTCATGCTTGTAAACCAGCAGGACTCGATGTAATTTGATTTAAAYAAAAATCCTAATGGGGGAGGATCTCAATCCCCCTTGAATGTTTGTTCCTGAAAGTTGAAAAGGCAGTCAAGGTTTTATGCAGTCCATTTTTTTTTTTACCATCTTCACACAAAGCTTTTAAGAACTCAAAATCAAAAGGGTCCCCACAAATGGCTGTGTGTTTTGGCAAACTCCAGGCATGTGTTTGTGTGTTACTTGCTGCATTTTTAAGCAGGGCAAATTTGACATGGCTTGCTTTTGTTTGCTTGTGCATCAGCTTGCCTCCTCGCTGTCAGCTGAAATTTCCCTTGAACCTCCTCAGTACATCCCTAGAGTAGCAGGACCATTAAACACTGGAGCCCCTAGTAATTTATTACCCTATGTAACATTGTGTGGTCTGTAGCTGGAGAAGACCCTGCTGTTTCTGTCCTTGGTGAGAACCATCGTTATTATTGCAGAGCAATATTATTAAATTATTTAGCAGAGCAAGTCAGTCATACCCTTCCAAATTGTTAGTTATCGTGAATGTTAGTTCRTTTTACAAGCTCCCGAGATGCTTGACTCGTACGTGGTGGGGTTTCCAGCCCCCCTCCAAGCCCTGCTGCACGTTTGCAAGTCTTGTGTGTTCATTTGTGTGTCTGTCACGCCGGGGCTCTCTGCAAATCTCTGCCACCTAACATGGAGCGCCTGAGAAGGTTCCTGCACGTTGTATTCAAACATCATGTTTCTGAAGCCGGAAGCAAGGTTTGCATGATAATTATAAAATGCAGAATAAATAAGAGGGAAAAATTATTTTGAGAAACTTTTCAGCAATATAAGACTTACTACTTGGTGTAGTCTTGTGACTGAAACAGGTTTTGGATGCTTAGTTACTAGTTGCTAAAAATGATGGCAGTCTGCAAAGCTTTTTAATCTCTTGGAGACAGTGTACAAGTGATTACTGCTTTCACCAGTAGTAATTTTCCTTGGTTACATCTGTTTTTTTTTTAATTAAGAATTACAGAGAACAAATGCTCCTTAAGTAGGCTCTTACCTCTTGAATCTTTAATTCTAAGCCCATAATTGGTTAYGATGAAACGGTTTGCTCTGAAATGGATGGCAACTTGGGGCTATTGAGAAAACTTAATATTTCATTCCTATTTATGCGTGCTGCAGTACAATAGGTTATAAATCCCTAATGTTGTACACCTAATCAGGCCTTGTCAGCAGGACTTTCGAGATATGGAGGTGTGATGTGAAAGGTTATTTAAGCTACAAAATTGGAAATAAATTCATATCCACATGAATACAGTTTATGTACAATGCTGTTTTAACTTTTGCTGCTTTTCCCTTCAAGATTTTACCATATAGGCATATTTCAGATTAGGAATGTGGCTACTATACATGGGTGTCCCTATTACGTGGAATTTTATTGAGGTAGAAACTTAATATTTTCACTCATTTCACTTCAGAGCAATAGAGCAAAGTGACCATTTTGTTAAAGGGGGGAATCTCATGCTGCCAGTAGCGTAAAAGGGGAACAAATGTACTTGTTTAGATAAAAATTCAGTCTCAATACAGTCCTGTTTTTTAAATATGCATACTGCATGTTATTTATATAATTAATAGAAAATCTAGTTATTATTTATAATYGTAGGCCATCTCTATATTTATAAAGTGAATTTGGTTTCTAGGTCAGCAGGACGTGGAAGGCCCTTGCGGAAGATGAAGTGCTGTGGTACCGGCTGTGCCAGCAGGACGGGTACCTGCTGGAGAGCAGCATCGCGGCGCGCTCCTGCTGGAAGCTCGCCCTGAAGGACTGCCGCGCCAAAGAGCGCACCCTCCGAACCAACTGGAAGGTAAAAGGGAGAGAGTTCATCAACGCCACCCAGGTGCCCTGGAAAAATGGGAACCTGCTGCAAGCAAGGGGGAGGGAAAAGAAAGTCGTTTGCATTGCRGCTCCTTCTTTGCCAGTTAGAAGGGGAAAACTGCTAAGGGAGGTAAAAGATTCTGCCTCCGCTCTAATACTTTCCTTCCCGATGACCTCTTGCTTTGGGGATGAGTCTCTGTTTACCATGCTCCTGTTTGCTCTGAGTTTGGTGAAAGAGCAGCATTTTTACTTCAGCCGTCCCTTAGTAATAATGATCTTCTGTTAAGATGACAGCTGCTACTCCACTGCTTAAATATCCTGACTAAACGTAAATTGTCTTGTTTTGTGTGTGTGCTAAGTTTCTCTACTTCAAGATAAATAGAGAGAGCAGCCCCGCAGAGAGGGACCTGGGTGTCATGGTGGACGACAAGTTGACCATGAGGCAGCAGTGTGCCCTGGTGGCCAAGAAGGCCAACGGGATCCTGGGGTGCATTAAGAAAAGCGTCTCCAGCAGGTCGAGGGAAGTGATCATCCCCCTCTACTCAGCCCTGGKGAGGCCACATCTGGAGTACTGYGTCCAGTTCTGGGCTCCCCAGTACAAGAGGGATGTGGAGCTGCTGGAGAGAGTCCAGCGCAGGGCTACSAGGATGATCAGGGGCMTGGAACATCTGYCCTATGAGCAAAGGCTGAGAGAGCTGGGCCTGTTCAGCCTGGAGAAGAGGAGGCTGAGGGGGGACCTGATCARCGTGTATAAATACCTCARGGGAGGCAGTGAGGAGGAGGGGGGCGGCCTCTTTTCAGTGGTGGRCAGGGATAGGACTAGAGGAAATGGCTTCAAACTGAAGCATCGGAAGTTCCACAGGAACTTAAGGAAGCATTTCTTCACTGTGAGGGTGACAAAGCACTGGAACAGGCTGCCCAGAGAGGTTGTGGAGTCTCCTTCTTTGGAGATCTTTAAAACCCGCTTGGATGCAGCCCTGTGCCACGTGCTCTAGGTGACCCTGCGTGAACAGGGGGGTTGGACTCGATGACCTCTGAGGTCCCTTCCAACCTTCGGCATTCTATGATTCTATGATTCTATAATGAATGAATATCCAGTATGGTAGTTTCTTTCTCCTTTATTTTTTGGCTGTGAAGGTTTCAGGAGGAAGGCATGGGCTGGTGGCTCTTCTCTCCGAGCTGTGCTATGACTTACCAGTAGCAGTGCTAAAGCTCAGCTTTTCCTGCAAGGAAACTTGCTTCCTTGGGTAAATGTGGGTGGTAAATGTGTTGAGATACTAATGCTGTTATCTCCTCTTTCTGTGCAGAACCGCATCGGAGCTGTGAGCCAGCTGCAGTACGAGCTGGGAAAGATTCTTTGTGACGTCCATTCCTGTGATGGAGTTGTCATTGCTGGGTGAGTATGAAGTTACCTAAGGCTCATTTAATCTTCTCCACTTGAACTGTCATGTGCTGCTGCTTGACAAATTCAGAAGAAGCATCAGACTGATGCAACAAGAATGAGTGTTTCTGACTCCTTTTTTTCTTTTTTTTTTGCAAGCTACATTTTCCCTAGTTAAAACCATATATAATCTCATCAATGCACACTTTTATTAGACTGTTCAGAAGCGGGATTTTTTAAGTATAGTCCATGTAAAAAATATACTACTTTCTGATGAAAAAATCCATTGTTGTGTTGTGAAGGCACCCAGAATGTACTTAGTATTTTACAGATCTGTTAGAGAYCTGGGTTTCTTTTTTGTTTTCATAAAAATGTTTTGATCACTAAGATGTATTTGTGGCCTGTGGCAAGTTTAGAAGAACAGTTGTTATTCTCCAGTATTCTTTAAAAGACAAGTCTRGGAGAAAAATCAAACTCTTCTTTTCCTAATATTAAACTTTGTCAGGACCAATTTGRTGGTAACTATTCACTTATCTTACASAGCTAAAATGCTATTTTAAGAACTTTCCAAGATGCTATTTTAAGAACTTTCCAAGCTCTTCCAAGAGGATTGACTGTCTTGACAGATGTAAGACTTTACCGTATTCTGTTTGAATTTTACAGGCTCAGTAATTATTAGCCTTCCAGAAGAAGTCACGCTAGCAAATAGAAATGATATCATCATGGGGCAATCAGAGGACATTGTCCTCTAACGTACCGGAGTTGCTTGTTTTATGGTAGCACTTCACATTAATGGTATGCTTCTGCGTTGTGGCATTAGAGAAAAATGCCTATAAAATACTGGAAAATTTACTTACTGGTTATTGGAGAGGTGGCMTGCATCAAGTGTAGGTGGCTCCCATGCAGAATAAAACACTCTTGGCCATTTAAAGTTGAAACTAGAGGACAGCAGAAGAGAAAGAGGAAGTTTAAGCTTTATGATTATTTTACTAGATACTTTGCCACTTGTTTCTCTCGCAGTTGAGGATGTCTCCTTTTCTTTGCTGCCTTTTTCTGTCCTGTTCATGGTTGCTTCTCCACCCTGCGCTCTTGGTGCAGAGGTGTTGTTGGTTGTTGCGGGTCTGGCTGTAGCCGTGCGAATGCCACCGCCGCCGAGCGGTGCCCTCTCGAGGCCGTGCCCCMGCGTGGGCAGCCTGCGCGGTGGGCACATTGGAAGAAGCCTGAAGATGGTGATTTTTGCCAGGTGTTCGGCCTTGCTCTCCGGCGGCTGCAGCTGGGAGCCGGCTCTGCGCTGCGCCGGCTGGCTCCTCCGCTGCCCTCCAGCCTGCGCAGCGCGTTCCTGCCCTTGGCTGGGCTCTGTGCTACTGTAGCTGTTCCTCTGGCTCTGTTGAAGCCTCCTGTACTTTCCTGGGTGCCAGGAACCCCAGTTGTCTCCTCTCTGCTGCCAAAATCTCTGGCTTGCTTTTTCTTCATTCTCCCCACTGTGTGTGTATCCAAACATGCACTATAGAGAAGCTAGACCAAATGCATTTACTTTTTAAGGAATTAACAAACCAAGGTGCTGAAGCCCTGGTACTAAAGTCTAATAGTCCATGTTTTTGGTGTGGTATATTAAGGGAGCCAARTTGGTGCAGTTTTGACTGTTGTCTTTTTGTATTGGCGTCTCAGGTCCTCCAGTAGCTTTTGGAGCTTTTGGTCAGCCTGCCTCCATTCGACATGGTGAAAAGAATGGGTGCTCTTAAAGACCTGAAGTTCCTGTAAGGTTCACTCAAGTCTTCAGGTACTTAGTCTTTAAGAGCACTAGCTCTRTCCATCAGGCATGTATCATTTAGAAAGCAGACATTATGGATTTCACTCAAATTATTTCTTCTTTCTTTTCCCCTCTGTGCGGTTGTGTCTTTTTTCAGACACAATGGAAGCGTTCCACAATCCAAAACTCTTGCAACAGACTGTTTCTCCTGGAGAGAAGTATATGGGGCTTGAGCAGACCTCAGCTTTGAGTGTCTTTGGTTGTAAGACCTGATCACTTTTTAGTTACCTTTCAGTATTTTCCCTTTTCTGAGAAAATGAATTTTAATATTGAAGTATCCTTTTATGATTCTGAGAATCATACATTTGAAAAAATAGAGTGGGGAAATCAGACTTTATAATGTTAGAACCCAGAAAATGCAGTATTCTTTTTTGCTCCTCTTGCCCTTCACTCTGCTTTGGTAGCTTGAGTTCTCTGAAAGCATCTCTTCCATTGCTGCTGACCAAGAGTCTTTCCCTGAATCTTATCAAAAAGAAAATGGATTTGTTGTCTGCCACTGGCAAGAGAAGCCTGCAAGATAGTAGCACCTTCCCTCGTATTTTAAGTACTGTTCCATTAGTTTAAGAATGTACAACTTTCAGATATTATGATCACTTGTGCTGTTTTACAAAGCTGAACGTGTTGCTGTCTCTGGTGTCTTTGGCATGCAGTATAGGGCCTTGTTTCCACAACTCCTTCCCTTTTATGATCATCTGCTCTTCACAACCAGAGAGAACACAGTTTTAAAGACTGCATTTTGCTATTCATCCCCTAAATGAAAGAAAATACATATATTGAATTAAAAAAAAAATCAATTTTGAGACTTTTGGCATGGTATGCAGACTTTCTGACCCTTGGTGGAGGTACTCTTAATTGCAGTACTTTTGTCTTTAGTTTTTAATTATATTTGCAGTAGTAAAAATCAAASAAGACAGTCTTAAAATTGTGACTGAAACTTCCAGTGGCATTCATGGATTGTGCAGGGAAATGCATGTTGTTCATTATGTACAGTTGGTAAGTATTTAGCATAGGTAGACTAAAAATATATATCTTCATATGTATTTATATATGTGTGTGTATATATAGAGATGATTTTTTTTCCCAATCCAAAYACAGCCTTCCTCTTTCTCCCCCAGCTTATAGTATTGTATGTAGTGGCATTGTACTTTTAAATTTGCCATAAAAATGTAATGAATCTAGTGATCAATACCTAGTTGCTGTGTCCTTTCAGTCCCGAAGAAGTAATTTAATAGCTGAGGTTAACAGAAGTCAATTTTCTCCTCAGTATAGATATCAATTATCTGTTGCAGTTAATGATTATGTCTGCAGTCCTGCAAACACTTACCTACGTGCTTAGCTTCACATGTGAATAATCACGGATTTCAGCGAGACGAGCCACGCGTTACTCCCAAAGACTGAGACGTTGGCAGCAATCTGTAAAATAATTTTGTGAATCGTATTTCCTGGGTTCTCTAAGCAGTGACTTGTGGCATCATTTACCCGTTCTCGTAGAGTCGTGTTCCTGCTTTGGAGGAAGAAAGGGCCGCGGGTTGGGAGCAGGTTTTGCTGCTGCCTTGGGGCCGGCCAGGTCGCTGGGAATGGCCGCAGGGGCAGCAGCTGCTCCCTGGCTTCGGGAGGCGCCACTTGAGCTCTTGGGAGAGCAGAGAATCGTTAGAGAAATGGGAAAGGTGGGAGAAGAAGGTTCCTGCAGCAGAAATGCAGGAGCAGGCACACATACTCGGCATTCTGAACCTCTGCTCTGTGTCTGACCCTGCGTGCTTCAGCATAGTGCCTCAAACTTCACTGGAAAGTGGACTTTTTATATAAATATATAAATATATAAATATATAAATATATAAATATATAAATATATAAATATATAAATATATAAATATATAAATTATAAATATATAAATTATAAATATATAAATTATAAATATATAAATTATAAATATATAAATATATAAATATATAAATATATAAATATATAGATATGGTATATGGTGTGTGTGTATATATATACACAATATATATACCATATACCATCCGTTTATATATATATATGGTGTATATATACACATATATCATACACACACCGTATATATATACACACCGTATATATATAATTTATATCATATCATATACACACACCGTATATATATAATTTACATATTATATATTATACTATATATTATACCATATATATATATTTATATATGTGTATATATAAATAAAAGCTGCTGTGGCAATTTTCTTAATCCTCCCGAAAAGGAATTTTTGCAAGTTGTGGATGGACAGGGTGATCTAAAACATCCTGTGCATGGAAGAGGCATAGTCTGAACTTGATTAACTTCAAGGAAGGAGGTAAGAGTGAGCCACGAAGGATGAGCTCTTATTAAAAGAAATGCTCCTGTTTTCTTGTGCTCTCCTGTGTTTTCTCCCTCTTGCTGCCAAAGCTCAACCAGGAGATGGCAGAATATCAAAGATTGATTAAGTGCAACTTGAGCTGTGAGTTGAGGGTGGCTGTGAGCAGCTCCTCTTTCTCTGAGCCTTGCGTTCGCTGTCTGACATCAGATAATTCAATCTGGCCGGCATGCRGAGCGTCTTGTGTTTATCATGAAAATTTTATCCCAGTGGTTACGAGGCTTGTTTTCTGGGTCAGGCCTTGAATCCCTTTTCATTTGAGACGGTGGTGTTTGTGGTTACCTCACTCCCAATCAATGTTGTATTCACAGCCTTTCTATGGTTGCATGTCTCCAAGGATCGCCTTTAAAGAGATGTTGTGTGACGCCCCCCTCTTTCTGTATTCATCTTGAATGCAGTTTGTTTTTTAAGTTACAATTGACTAAGAAATTATAATTCTGCTTGCTTGAGTCTTATAAATTAGCATTGCTTAGGTTCACTGTGCTTAAATATATATGGTTTTGACCTGAAATGCCTAGATTTTTTTTCACCTTTTTCCAATAAAATCTTAAATCCTCCTTAAATCAGCCCTTGACTCTTGACTCCTTAAATCAGCCCTTGGCTCCTTGACATTTTCCATTCAGAGGTTTCCCTGTTCCCCCAGTACGTACTGTCTCCTTTCCTGGCTGTTTTATTCTTTGGCTCAATCGGTGGCTCTGAGTGCCTCGTACATCAGCAGAGAAGCCCTGCTGCMCTGGTCAGGGAGGACTACAGCTGACACAGACCATCTTTCTTCTGAATTTGGGTAGCAATGCTCAGCAAA